TGGTGATATTAAACCTTCTACGTAACGGGCCTCCGTTTTCTCATAAGCTATGATGGCGTTAAAAGAAAAAGCGGTGAATCGCAAACCATGAGTGGAGAACATGTTCACCAGACGCTGACCGTAAAACATTGGACTCGTGTCTCATTAAAGGTGTCAAACCGTAGTTATTTCAATTCACTGTTTAGGCCTGACATGGTAAGGAAACATGATAATGTTACAAATATCCTTAAAAGTTTCCACTTCGGTCATATTTCAGTCTGTTTTCTCATCACTATGCGAGTTTAGAGCGATGCGCGACAGGCCAGGCGTTTCTCTGCTGACTCCATCCTCACGAGTTCTGCAGAAACTTTCTGCTCTACAAAACCCTCGAGGTAATGTCGTTTCTCTCCTCCCTAAGGTCTAAACAAATCATTCCTCATAAAGAACTGATTTCTTTTTTAGAAAGATTATTTAACTGATTATTGATTAAGTTACTGATCCAAGTTATTATGTAAATCCTTAAACAGATGAACACACAGGAAGTGGAGCGGTCCGTGGAGCCTGACAGGCGATGGGCTCCCTGCAGACGTTCCCCGTCTCCTCTGTGGGAAAACCCCGGTGACCTGAGGAGCCCAGAGAGACTCTGAGTCCAGTCTGCTGCTGCGTGGGACGGAGCCCAGTTTAGATTTTAGAGCAAAGAGGAATGAGGCCTGATGGGAACACCGTTTCACAGCACAAATCTGAGTTATTCATCAAGTTATTCATTTATAAATGTCACAGTTTCAAACCAAATATTTAGATAAAATGCAAATTCACTTGCTTGAAGTGTTTCCGTTTGGTCCACCGCTTCCTGTGAAAACAGGAACCAAATAAAAACGCATCGAATCATTTTTCTAAACATCGTTGAAATCATATTTTACGTGAACCTTAATGTGACTCAAACCGAACGGTACCAGAGTTCACCGTTCTTTCCCCGGTCGGGCCAGCGGTTAGCTTCAGGCTCCAGAACCAGATAATCTGGGTTTACACCCAGGGTGTCCAACCTGTGGTTCTGGGGCCATTTGTGTCCCCAGAAATGATTTTATTCGCCTCCTAATCTTAAGTCAAGAATGGTACAAATTTGGCCAACAAAACAATTGATGACCCCAAAACTGTAACCTGTCAGTTTGTCTTGTAATGAGGCGAAAACCTGAAGCCTTTTATGTTTCCGGGTCAGATTTCATGACCAGAGAGACCAGTCTGGGCTTCTTGTTTCTATTATCAGAACTGTGTGGTTCCATTTCACAAACTTAAAGTCCACTTTAAGGGTCAAAGGTCATCTGCAGATGCCTAATTTAGGGTCACCCTGATTAAATGATCCCCTCGGTATATTTCTTAAACTTCATCAAGTTAAGAAGTTATCAGTAATAATGCATTGAATTAAATTCTGATATTTAAAATCTGTTTTTTCCAAGGATTTTTTTCCTTTCCTGAATAATTTTTTCACAGCAAAAAATGAAATATCCTTGGATCGAAAGCAGAGCAGAAACTTCACCCAGCTGGATCTGGAGAACATATGTTTGAATCGATCCTCGGTTATATTTATTAAACTGTCATCACCAGGGCATGCAGATGAATTATTGTGAAATGTGAGATCCCGGACATTCATCCTGGGAATTAGTAATCAGGTTTGACACATTGTCCTCGCTGCAGCCTTGATCTGCTAATTAGAGAGGAAACGTAGGTGCAAATCCGTTCTGATTTGCTGCCAGGAGCTCTGAAGTCTGGCTGCAGATGAGGATGTTGGTCTGGCGTCAGCACAAGCAGCTGGGACGTTACAGAGATATACGAGACATCTGAAGGAATCATTTTTAATATTTAAGGTCTGATTCCCGTTTAAGATCACCCTGTTCTTGTTAGCGAGCTAGCGGCTCGCCTTCCTCTGGAAAAACTGGGTCACTTCTGCTTCATGTTCAGAAATGGCTCATTTAAAAAGCGTCCAGATTTCCTACGGTCCCTGAAGTAAACCAGCTTTATGCCGTTTCATTAGACAGAAACATGTTCACAGAAATTTCAGGCTGAGCGATGAACCCAGTTTGTCTGACTCCTCCACTTCCCCACTCCTTCAGACCTTCAGGTCAAAGGTCAACAGATGACCACTCTATCCGCACCAGGAGACCCAGGACAGCAGTTGTTTAATCACAGCTCTTCTCCAGGTTGGAGCAGAGGATTCTGGGAAATGGAGGGGTCAGATGAACAGAAGTGACCCCTGGAAGTGAATGCACTTTGAACTGTAACCCCAGAGCTGGGTGGAAGCCCACAGAGGGTTCTGTGGACTGGATCAGAACTGGGACCAGTTGCTGGAGTCCCTTCAGAAATGAAGTGGACCCAGATGGGGGAGGCGGACTGAGCGCGCTCAGAGCGGCGCTGCTGGATTATTACTGAAAACAGAAACATGCTCTTCATGGATGGTGTTTCCTTCTTTGGAACAGAAAAAAAAAATTGGTCATTTGAAAATGAATAGAGGACATTTGGTGACAGATAAACTGTAAAACATCTATAATGATTCATGACTTTCAACATTTCTTACAAATTAACATCTGGAAAGTGTGGATTTGTGTTATGATGCATTTATAATATTTATAGTGGAGCCTTTAATTTACTCCCTCTTTTGATTTTTTTTTTTCAGATAATATTTCCCACAAATCTGAACAGGAAGTGATCGGCGCCATCTTGGTGGTCCAGCAAAGAGGAACGATGGGAGAATATAAAGAAAATGTCTGCTGTGGGGATGGACCCGTAAGAGACGGAAACAAGTCAGACGGTGTGAACGAGCTGCCTCTGATCTCCTACTGTGACAGAGTTCACTGCTCAGTGAACAGGAAGAGTTTATCCAGCACGGAGGAGCTTCACAGCCTGAAATCCATACAGTCAGTTTAAACGCATTTCTAGAGGACGTACGAACTCTTCGAGTCAAAAACGAGGTTCTGCTGACTGGAGAGTGAGTACATGAGGTAACAAACACGTAGGCCGCATGTCCCTGTTAGCTAGCAGATACATTAGCTAAGCTAACGCTGCTAGTTCGGCAGTAAGTACTGCAGTAAATATCACTGATGTTTATCTTAGTATTACACAGGCGGATAGAGTATTGAAAAACTGTAATTGATTAATAGTTATATTATTGATAAGTTAATTAGGAACGAGGCGAGAGCTAGTTCTAAACTTGTGGCTTGTTTATTGTTGTCATAGCAACTGTTGGGCTACAAACACACTGCAGGCCTTAATGCTCATGTCCGAGTTTTTGTGAAAACGAATTTGTGTGTGGTCGTTCCGCATGCGCAGTAGAGCCCGCAGTGACGTCACACGCAGAGAGCATCATGTGTTTGTGGAAGTAACATGGATGCCAGAGTGACCGTATCCATATACCTATCAAGATGGCTGTCAGCTACAAAGTTTTCGTCATGTGAAAACTATTCAGTTCTATATTATCTTGATTTTATTTCTTCTGAAATTAATTTAAAGCTTAAATTAATGACTATATACAGAAATATGAACGTGACAGAAGCAATTTGAAAAAGATTGAGGTCCATGTCCAGTGCTCAGACCAATCGTTTATCAGGTGAAAATAAAATTTTACAGATAGACGCTGGTGACCCCTGCTTGACCTCAGCGTTAAATCAAAGCAACACGCTGCCGACCAGCACCAGCTATAAACTAAACGGACTCGCATCGATCCCTGCATGCCGCCTGCACATCGCAATATCAGTGGAGCAGGACGGCGCTGCTGCATGCCTGTGTGTGATCAGGTGTGTGTGTGTGTGTGTGTGTGTGTGTGTGATTCCTGGCCAGAGTGCTCAGTTGTTTATGGCGGCCTGGTTCACAGGTCAACTGAGAGGTCAGAGATGAATTAAACGCTGACGCATCAGAACTTCCAGTCTTGTGTCAACTTCACATCTGACCAGCGGCGTAAATTTCACCTCCCGACCAGCTAAAATATTCCCTGTGTTAGTGAGGACAAACTGCAGCTCGGACGAGGAAAGATGGCGGTTATCAGTATTACTGTGTTTGATAATAAATGCTAATAAATGTTAGCTCCATTGCTGCAGGCTTGATCCTGGTGGCTCCTAAACCGTCAGCAGATCCTTTAGCTAACAGTTTCAGTCTGTGAGGCAGACACCCTGCAGACTGTTTAGATGAGGCTTTAAGCTGTAACCAACCCCTAGATCTACCTTTTCTTTGCAGATAAACTCTAAATATGACATTTAGGGTTCAATCTTTAAGTTTCTCTGCACATTAGGACATTTTCATATGCATTTCTTCAGTTCTGCATTATTTTGCCTAAAACACAAATCTGGTGTGCCGTTGTGGTTTGGGCTGACATGATGCTGGTTCTCCGCTGGTTCTGAACCTGGTTCTGGTTCTGCTGGAGGTTTCTTCCAGTTTAAGGGAAGTTTTTCCTTCCCACTGTTGCCCCCTGCTGGTGAGGAGGAGTGACGCTGCGTAACGACTCATTTCTGCTGGGTTTCCGTAGATACAAACATTTCAAACTAATTTGAATAATAACCTGAACTTAATGCATGGATTGATAGCTGGGATTAATTTAAATATATTTTTAAAGTGCCTCAAGACGACATTTGTTGTGAAATGTTGCCATCGTAATAAACTGAACTTAATTAAAATTTGTAGAATGTCCACAAAATTGTAAAAACTAGAATCCAGTAGGATCTCTGAACTCTTTAAAACCCTTTTTGTCTAATCACTGCCAATAAACTTCACTTAAAAAGGTAAACTGTCCCTTTAATTACCGGGCCTACAGTTAAAGATGTGAGTGAAAAGTAGCAGAGCTGTAGTCAGCTGCACATTTAGTTTAGTGGTGTTCCTTTCCTCTTATTTTATATTCAGTGGAAGTCCTGGCTGTTTGACTCTTACATGGTGGACGGATCAGTGAAAAGGCCTGAAACCCAGAAGCATTTCCTCATTTCTCTCAGAAGATCCAGCTAATGCAGGACGGAGACTGCATTAAGTTACAGGAGCTAATGGACGGCGGCTTCTGCTGTCCAGCCTCCGTTTCAGAGTTCCTGTCAGGAGATTAACGCCACGCTTCAGGAACGTTTCAGTAAACATGCTGTCAACTTCTACAGAAGAGATTAAAGTCGTTGTCATCCTGCTGCTCCGCAGGGCCAAGTCATCTGCCCGGCAGATGTAGGTCGTGTTTTTGGCAGCAGCAGCGTGAACCGGTTTGAAATCGATACAAACAGGAGGAAGTGACGGTTTCTCCAGATAAATGACCCTAAAGCACGTCAGAGTAAAAAGATTTAGTCACAATTTCACTTAAATAAGAAAATCAGATACAAAATTCTCAGAAAAAAACACCTCTACAACAGTTTGCTTTCTAATAAATTAGGTTTGACAAAAATACAAAGTTGCATATATGAGCATCAGGCCAGAGTCAGTCAGGAAACAGCTGGGAGTTTTTGTTCAGGTGTGTAAATATGCAAAGCGTCGCTGAAGAGGAATCGTTCAGCACAGTTTGCATGTCGGGAGCCTGTTTGGACCAGGAGAACTTCCTGACTGCATAAAGAAATAAACTTTAAAAGTTCTTCCGTCTGAAATGTTAAAATTATTTTTGAACAGCTAACCTATGTGCTTTTATTGTGATAGTACCACGACTCAAAGTGTCTCCCTCGGTTTGTATGGTTCTGTTCGGGTCCATTAGCCCTTTGACCCACAGATTGACTGTATGAGTGCTTTTATTTTGACAGGTCATTGTACTTTCAGCTCTTTGAAGGCTGGAAGTTTGTGTGTCTCTGTGGCTTGTGCTTCTCAGTGGTTCTGAGGGATTTGACTAGGACTTCAGTTTTACTAATGTGGCTCAAGCACTTACAAGGTTATAACGCCTCGTTTCGGGTCGGTTCGGTACGATATTTTATCATGGAGGGAACCTTTTGCTAGCTCACCTTTGATTCAAAATCAATGTTTGATTCCAAACAACTGGGACTTCTGATGTTGCTATTTCCATCCAGGAGTTTTTAATTTTTGGAGTTATTTAGTAAAGAATTGCAAAAAATGTTGATATTTCCCTCACCAAGTTGGATAAGCATTCCTTAAAAGTATTCATGTCGTCTGCAGATACAGCGACCGGTTAGCGGAAACAAAATAACGTTTCTTCATAAGCCCCACCCACAGCCGTCTGACCAATCACAGCCCGCCTCCCATAGCACTGTAATGGAGGGAACGTCGTAGCTCCGACCATTAGCGGAGTCCAAATGTTTTCTTTCATGGAAGATGGGGCCGGTTGAATCTCTCTCTTTTGTTTTCATCGTTTTCTCTTTGTTTTGGTGCTTTATGCGTATGTTCCAGTACCGTCTCCATAGCGACGTCCGAACGTTACAACATGGAGGTGGACAGACGTCGGATTTATTTTCATTTTTTAAAGCTGATTCTGAATCGCAGTAAATGAGAATCAGGACTTTTATGAGAATTGATTTTTTTTCATCGGTGCTGTTCTGTCTGTTTCTATTGTAAGGGAAACCCAAACAACTGACCGGTACCGCACCGTTCCTGGACCTGCTTCAGGTGTAGGTCTAGAGGACATTGGTCCGGTCCGGTCTGGTCCGGTTAGGGAAGAGCTGCTGATGTCACACAACACAGCCCTTTGATTGGGCGACAGAAAAACATCACTGTTTGCGATACTCAGAGAGACACACATCAGGTTGGGTGTTTGGGTCTAACCCCGCCGGCCCAGTGGCGGTGAATACACCGGGCATAAAATACAGAACCGAACCAAGCTGACCCGTATCGTACCGCTCAGTGGAATCAAGACATAAGAATAACTTCTGCAAGGACCTTGAGGACCTAAAGGTCTCTGTGGAAAAGCTTCACAACCAGGCTGGCATTGACAGATGGAAGATGTTTGGTGGGCTGGCGTTCAGCTCCAGCCAAAGTCTTGGCCGGTCATTTGGTAGAACTTGAGGTTAAAGGGTCTGTAGAAGTCTCTGAGCCTGAGCAGAACCTCAGTCGGTATCTGAGGATGCGGTCTGCCCTTCGACTTCCCCAGGCAGCGCGGCCGGCTGCTGCCCTCAGGCTTCTTCAGGCAGGGGAAACCTTTGGTCTGGTTGAAGTAGAAGTGTTTGTCCGTCACCACGCGTTTGAGGCCCAGAAAGTCCTGGACTCTGCCCATCTCCCCCGCTGGGTCCGTCACCAGCCGCTCCCCGCTTACAAACAGGAAGCGCGACAGAGGAAAGTAGCGCAGCCAGTTCTCCAGGTGCTTGGCGTAGATGCCGATGCGTACGGCGCTCCAGGAAGTGTCGATGAGCGTCGCGCTGTCGTTGCGGAAGGCGAGGTTCTGGAACGATGGAAGCCCAGGAGATTTGGACAGTGTCTGGGTGTAATCAGAGATGGCTCGGGTCACTGGGTCTCGCACCACCACGATGAGTTTGGTGTGGCGGCTCAAGGCGTGGACGCGCCGCGGAGCCTCTTTGGTGATGAAGTAACTTGGAGTCTTTTCCATGGTGATCTGACCCTCCAGAGTCCGAGGCATTAAACTCCTGTATAAAAAACAACAAAAAACCCAGAAAGGAATTGGGATATTTAAACATTCATACGTAAAGAAAAATACTTTTCCCTTATTATCAATTCCTTCTAATGAATATTTTAAAAGCCTGAGTTTAATTCAGTGAGCTAGGGAGGAAAACAAAGATATTAAAAAACATCATAACCTCTTTATTCCACCGTCTGGAGTCTGGGTTGATTTTGCTTCGTCATGCTAGCTCCATTTCGCTAACAAAGCTACAGAACAGAAACTGTTAGCCCAGGAGGATGCTAATCCAGTTTTACTTCAGTCTTATAAAAACTGAACCACCTCTAAAAGCTACCCAGACAAAGAAAGGATGAAGAAACGATCAGAAAGAGCGGCGGTGCTGATGGCTGACAACTGTAATGTGTTGTCATTTTGGAGCTAGCTAGAATTAAAGTGGACCGGAGTCGGATTAAAGCGAATTAAGCAGAGCTGGTGTGAACGCAGCCTTGGCCTGGTTGTTTCCATTTTCTTGCTCTGCAGATTATCATCGTCAGTCTGAAGGTTCTGGTTCTACTGGTAGCTTTAGGGAACTGGATCACTCTTCTCTTTTATCTCCTGGCCCTGCTCTCTGATGAAGAACCAGGTTAATGATCTGTAAACCTTCTGAAACACCAGAGCAGGCTGTAGAGAAATGGAAGGAAATTACAGGGGAAGGAAAACCTGTTTGTCTTGTGTCATTTACTATATTCAAGAGCAAGCGTACTGCAAAAATAGAATGTACTAACCTCTGTCTTTTTCTACGAAGAGCAAAAAATACAGCTCCTTTCACCAAGTCAAGACAAGATTTAAATAATGGAGTTAGTTCATGTGTAAGCAGTGAAGAATGCCAGAGCTGCAGCTTTGAAGGAACCCTGGGCTGATTTCCATGCTTCCTCTCCGTCCTCAGCAGGCATGTGGTGGCGGTCGGGTCGGAGGCTTCGTGGTTGGTCTGTCAGTGAAGGTCTTATGAAGCTCTGTCGCTCTGATCCAACTTTACACACTTGGTTCCAAGTCCAGCATGTCCTCTGGTGTGCGGCGCCGAGCGCACCGCCTCGGCTCTTCACCAGAAATGTCTGAGCTGCATTAGCGGCTGGAGCGAAGCTAACCGGAGGAGAACACAATCCCAAACACAGAGGGGTTTCGGAAAGTGGTGGTGTTTCTATGCTTGGTTCTCTTTAGGGAGCCTTTAAAATGTCAGTTTGGAGCCAAAGTTTATACCTCAACCTGCCTGCTGGAACCTGAATGGGTTCTGGTGGATCAGCGGATTATTCCTGGTGACTGACTGAGTCCTACGGAAGAAACAAGCTTCATGTCTCATTTATGACCCAAGAGCTGCTTTTAAAAGTAAATTCCAGCTTTGGATAAAAGCTTGTAGAGTTTCATGGTGAAAGGTTTTTCTGCAGTGATGCACCTAAAGCCTCAGATCTGGCACTATCTGTGTTTTCTACATTCTTCTAAAGTCTATCAGTGAACATGCCAAAGCATTAAGTGCTTCCAGTAAAGAAAACAGGGAAAGTTTTGTTCTTTAATGAAAATATTCAGAATTCATTTGGAGGCTGTAATATTTGTGTCTCTCCTTTCAGCTGCAGAAAGGCCGACATTTTGTTTCATTTAATGAATACAAGAAAAACTGGAAGAAAAATGGAACAATGTGTTAAAGACTGCGTTCTTGTGTCTCCTGTGGCTGCAGGGAGACGGTCGAGTGTTTGCAGCAGAAAATCAGTTTAATTCCAAGCTGTTGTCCCTGCTGCAGGCGCAGAGGGCTTCCATCGATGCTGTGTTCACATGTTGGACTGCAGCAGGTCTGTGCTGCAGTCCAACATGCTGGTTCTGTGGTGCAGAACCAGCAGAGACACGGCGGATAGAGGCAGAGGCCTGCTGCTGATGCTAATGCTAATGCTGCGCTATGGAGGGGGAGGAGGGACTTTAATCTCAGCAGCCTAATTCTGTGTCAATCTATGTCAAAATCCAAGTAATATTCATAGACGTATTTCAGTTCCGTTGTTAGTATATAGAAATAATCGCATAAATAATCGTTTTCCTTGTCACAAAATGTGTAACTTACCCACACTGAAAGCCTTTCATGTATTTGGTAGGTTTGGGTTTTCAGACTAGATTTTTCTGATGCTGCATAAATAATTTCAACAATCTTGATTCTGACAAAAAAAAGTCAGAATTCGTCTTTGTCAGTGGCACTAATTCTCTTCCGTACTTCTCTGATGTAGCCTGACGTTTCTTAATCTCTCAACTGGGAAACTGGGATTAGGGCCAGTTTGGGGCCCATTGAGGCCAGTTTGGGGCCTATTGGGGGCTAGTTTGGGGCCCATTGGGGGGCCAGATGGGGTCCATTGAGGCCTATTTGGGGCCCATTGGGGGCCAGATGGGGCCCATTGAAGGCTAGTTTGGGGCCCATTGGGGGCTAGTTTGGGGCCATTGGGGGGCTAGTTTGGGGCCCATTGGGGGGCCTGTTTGGGGCCCATTGGGGGCCAGATGGGGCCCATTGGGGGGCCTGTTTGGGGCTCATTGGGGGCCAGATGGGGCCCATTGAAGGGTAGTTTGGGGCCCATTGGGGCCTGTTTGGGGCCCATTGGGGCCTGTTTGGGGCTTTTTTTCCCTGTGGTGCGTTCAAAGACCTGCCGGCTGCCAGGAGGAGCCAGTGATTCCGGTCTGTGGCTGCAGCGTCTGTCTGGGTGCTGCATGATGTGGACCCTGAGCCTCTCTGACATCTAAACATCCAGAAGTCATTTCTTGTCTCCATGTTTGTAGAACTAGATTAAATCATTTCATCAAAGGTTTCAGTTTCTCTGCTATCAGTTTGACATCAGATCAGGACGAAGCCAGTTTGATAAACACCAGTAAAATATCCCAGCTTCATGACTGAATCATGAATTATTACCAAACCTGTTAGAGCAACCAATAAATTACATTTGGATGAGACTTCCAATAAAATATAAAAACCATTAATAATGCCTCTTTTCAGTTCTGGTGTTTATTGAGTATAAGTTAGAGTTGGCTCTTTTTTTAGGGACAGGAAATGTTACTTTTCCTCTGGAAAGTGAAGGAGCTTTCTTTCAGCCTGCTGGTTGGCAGTGTGTTGCTGCACAGATTAATAATCCCTTTAAAACTGATCACTTCAGCATTTCAGCAGGATGTTATTACTGATATTGTTGGTAGTCATTTTGGCAGAATGACTGAAGGTCAGAGGTTACGTCACTACAGTGTGATGTAAATCCTTCGGTTCTCGGTGGTTTGCAGCTCATCTGGCCGTCTGTGGCAGGTCATGCAGGCTTTCCGCCTGGCAGGCGCTCGGCGGTGAAAAGTGTTTTTACTTAGGAGGTTTGCATCACTGGGGTAGGTCGGTAGGAAAGAGCTGAAGAATGTGTCTAGCTGAGAGGAAAAACAGAGGCGTAACGGTTAAATCCTGCGTCTCAAGGCCTGAGAGAGAGGAGGTCAGTCAGAGTTTCCTCTCAGGAACCAGAACCAAACAGGAGAACCTGAGAGTTAACGTCTCAAGGTTTCAACAAAGCCCATCTTCAGCTCGTGATTCTGAGAGGAAATGGACTGCTTGGTCAGAGTTGCTGTGACGAGAAGCTGGAACTCAGCTGAAGGTTATTACATGTTAGCATCACATGCTAACTCTTTGAGACGTTGGCTTAGATGTAAAAACTTAAATCAGATCAACTTTTCATGTCTTTTTAGAGATTTTTAGTTGTTTAACTAATGTTATGAGTTAATGTTAGGACCTAGCTTAGTTCCTTTGTGTGAGCTAAGCTAACCATATGCTAGCTTTATCCTCTTTTTAAAAGAAAATGTAAATCAAAGTGTATGGATCTTTTTTAAATTTCCATATAATGTGTTATCACTGCTTCTGTTACTTCCTTTGTGTATGTTGAGCTAGCAAGCTGCTAGCCATAGCCTTACAATGCTGCAGGATGCTAAACTGTTGTGTTATCAGACATGGAGAAATTTTGATCATAATTTAATACCTCTAGCTTGATCCTTTGGAGTTACCATTTATTTACTGTCCCTGAAAGTAAATCTCAATAAATAACCGGCTCATTTTCTTTGCTAGCTTGTAGCAGCTAGCCTGTTGAGTTCAGACACATTGGAGGTTTTTCTGTAATGGAGGCCATCATGGAGGCAGGAAGTGTCACTCTGTAATCTGCTCATCTCTGCACCAGTCTGTTGGTTCCTCCCTCCCTGCGATCAGGCAGGGCGTGGCCCCCCGCTCCCCCTGTGGCCCCTGGCTGCTCCTAGATAAAACCACACAAGGAGACCAGTGTGGACCAGCAGGAACACAACTTCTGATTTTCCCATCTGATAACTGAAGAGGGAGGGAGCAATTAGTGGCAGTGACCCACACACACACACACACACACACACACACACACACACACACACACAGCCTGAATGACACGGCCTCCGTCAGCCTGGGTGTTTGAGTCTGTCAGGGTGTGTTAATGGTTTCATGTTTCTCTTTTCTTCTTCATGACTCGGCCGGTTTATCATTTTCATGTTTCGTTGGGTTTTATTTCCGTGTTGGAACCAGAGCCAGCCCAAGATTATCTGAGGCCCTGGGCAGACTTTAATGTGGGCTCCCACTGCGAGTTCGGCTTTTCTCTTGTTAAATATCTATGATTTACAGATCAGCTGGTTTCTGTTGACACTCACATTAATCACTTCATATTTATCAAACAAATTAATTTCTCTGATTTTCTTATTTGGTTTGACAGTGGAAGTCAAGAGAGGACAGAGGAGGAGCCAAGTTTAGAGACTCATCACAGTCAGAAACACTTTGATGGTTTGGAACGATTAGGTCACTTAATGAAAAAAACTTTCTTTTTGTGTTAAATCAGGTCATTTAGTCTGACATATAAATGTGTTTGATGTGAAACATGCAGATGGACAAAAAGGCAGGAGAAATCAGGAAGGGTGTGAATACTTTTCTACCTGAGCTGCATTTAAAGCTCTGAACCTGGAAACGCTCCG